TAATTTTGACCTTCATTTATTTGGAGCGGAGGCATTTTTTTTAAAGGGAAAAAATGTCATAGGTTGTCTAAAAATAAAGTGTGTTTAAACTCACTTGAAAAAAAATATACTTTGAGCTTGGGATCCACGTGAGGTGAAGAGCAGTGGGTCCCATCATTTGAGAGGTGTGGGAGGTTTGTTCAGTGAGAAGAGCATGTTTGACCTGGGAAAGGTGGTGCTAATGGGGGTTACCTATGACCTTAACCCTGTAGGGGTTGTCAGGATGACTGTGTAAGGTCTATCTTAGTGTGGCTAAAGAAGTTGGGGTGCACACTGTTTGATGAGGATAGCTTTTCCTGGGGTGACTCCAGCTGTCTGGTCTAGACTTTAATGTGAGGGTCTATGTATACAGTGGTCTGTGTGTTCCCATTGTAATTGTCTAAAGAAGGAGAGATAAGGAAGGTATGATGCTAAAAAGGGGGGTTCAGTGGGTAGGTTATAGTTCAGCAGAAATGGTTAGCCCTACATCAGCTCAAAGGGACTTAGAAATGATGGTGGTGTTTGTATACGGGCAAAGGCAATAGGAAGTAAGTTGCTGCTTTCCACACTCCGTTTATGGAAACTACAGCATAGGCTGCCTAATGGTAACTTTAGAGGTCATACAAGAGCTGCTATCAACAGAGTATGGTCCGGTTTAGGGATGGATTGGTCAGATAGGGAGGAAAGTAAAAAGCCCCTATCTGCAAGGACTTCATGGCAGCTATGGTCATAATAAGTCAAGGTGTTTTCTTGAAGAAGTGTGACTGGGTTTTAAAAAGGCTTTTATCAGGGTTGAGTGTTGTTGACTGAGAATAAAGAATAAAAAATGAGACGACACCAACAATGTATAAGAAAACAGCAGGGGGCGAGCATTTTGAACAACTGAGGCACTGAACCCAGCTTCCCTGTGCCTTTATTGAAAATTGTCAGGGAGCAAGACACAAAGAGAATTGTATGCAAATGAAGCTTAACTCTTTCTATTGAAAACCTTATGCTTGACTCAGGAGGGAGGGGTTAGCAAATTCAATACAAGAATTGTGTAAATGCTTAAGGTCGCCCTTAGTACTTCATACTGGTGAACACCCAAAGGTCTGCCTTGGTGCTTCAGCATGAATTCCAGCTTGTATCCACACCTCCCTGATACACTGATATAGCATTTGGTTTATCATAAATATTAAGTATGAAATTTCGTTTTCTACATTTCACCCTTTTGTTTATATCTTAATTATGTTGTCATCTAGACAAGCACGGCTTCTTCTTTCATTCATGTTTGTTTTTATTCTTTCCATCCTTTATACACAAACAAGTATAACAAATTAAGCAAAACTCACAAAAATACTTCCGAAAGTCTCCATATGATCAGAAAGATTCAGGTGCATATTCCTTTGCTATTCTTTGTGGAATACCTATGCTGTTAAAATAATCCAGTTGCTTATCGGAAGCAGAATGAATCTGAGCAATAATAATCATCTTTGAAATTACCAGGATTCACTCCATTTGGTATCATTCTGCTTTACTGGAGTAATGCAAAACTGTGTAGTATTCCAATCTAATTTTA